ACACCGCTGACTTTGTACAAAAAACTCTCTTTGTCATCGATTGCTCTAGAAGAGATGAAAGCATCAAAAGTTCCAGTGTTGATGTAAAACTTGAAATCGAAGTATCCAAGGAATTTCCACAAAAAACACGAGCCTATTGTATCATTGTGCACTGTCATTGAACACCTCCCACTCAGCGAAATTATCAAGAAATGGAACTGATCATGTGATTTTGCTGCAGTATCCATCGAAGAGTCAACATGAGAATAGTTGTCGTAGATATTCAAGGTTTCATCATCGAGCAACAATTCCATCCTAAGGAGATAGCTATTAGGGTCGGAATTCAATGTAGTAACCTTTTACTGTTGCCAAACATACCATTTTCCTGTTTGAGTAAAGAAGATCGTCGTACCGCCTGTTATTTGGAACGAAACGTTCACGGATTCAGGTATTCCTCTGGTTTTGTGGAATACAATCAATTGGATGCCATCCTCTTGAAAAATCTACGTGGTATCGATATCGTTTATGTGCGAGGTCATCAAAATCGTGACTATCTAGCAGCGAAATTTCACGAGATGGATATACCTACAGGCGTCATGAATTTGGAGGACTATGATAATACGACATGGATGGTTCCCACATTCGACAATAACAACAACGAAGGCGTCTCAGCTTGTATGCATCACATTCACAACCAAACCAAATATAATTGCAGTCTCCGGAACGCAGATATTATATACAAATGGCTTTGTGATATGTTACCAAAATGAAAATGTATAATACATTTCTATTCGAAATGTTTCATTTATTTTTTCTACCTAACCTCAACACCTGATGATGATGATGATGGTGACAACGTTTTGAAATCTCTCCAAACCCCCCAATTCCCCATTTGTTCGTTGTCCCCCACTCCCCCATTTCCCAACTAACACGAAGAAAAAACGCATCTGACGTATTTTGAAATGTCATGGCTGAATACCTCCATTGCCCCCATTTTCAAACGTTTCCCATGGGGATCGCACGCTAAAACGTTAGGCCCCCACCTGGCATGCTTTTTTCCCTAAATGAGACACCCTGTACACATTGAAGAATCACACGTCAAAACCATAGAGCCTCGTTAAACTTTTTTTAAATGACGTATTTTGAGACACCCTGTACATATTGACGTCATATTTTTTTCTTTAATCCGATTTTTCATTCATTATTATTATTATGCCATTATTTTTCACGCCGACGTACACCCTGTACATCGATGAGACACCCTGTATGGCAGCCATGTTTTTTTCTTTAACGTCCGTGGCCATGTTTTTTTTCTTTAAAACGATTTTACATTCATTATTATTATTATACTACTATTTTCCACGCTGACGTATTTGAGACACCCCGTACATGTTTTTTCTTAAACGATAAGACACCCTGTATGACACACATGTTATTTTTGTAATTCCACCGCGCTCTTATCTATCAAATAAATCTACTCGATGCTCATTCCATCCTTCTATGCGTCGATCACTTCGCACACCTCTCTTTCCCACTCACTACCGTAAGTACGTCCCCTAGGGAATACGCTCCAGAACTCTTGTATCCCCTCTAGTCACCAAGTGATCATCTTCAAAAGGAAGTTCAATCTTTCTCCCATACCAGTTGATTACTCAGAATTTGTGTTCAAATGAATACATTTCAGGTAAAATTCATGATGAGAGTGTAAAACTCAATTTCTAAAAAATAAATTGTTCACACGATTATTTTTCTGTTAAAACTGAAAAACTATCCATTAGTGAAAAAACCTTGATTCCCTTAAGTATACTCTAATAAAGTATACTCTAATATACATACATTAGAGTCTAGAGAGTAGTCTAAATAAGTGAAGATGGCAATGGGGAATGATCCTCCTGACGAAAATCAAGTAGTTTTCATAAACTTATTATATCAACCTTTTTCTTTAAAAAAATTATTGAAACACTTAAAAAAGAGGAATGAAATAATGCATTCAACATTTAAAGGGATTCGTTTCTATTTCACCATTTGGCAACAGCGGTTAGCTATAACCAATATAAAGGACAATGAATCTGTTACCTGTAGGAGACAAACAAAGATGACATATTTCAGAGGCGTGCTGTTCTGTTTACTTACGTTCCGAGTCATTCTGTGACATGACATTTTGTGCACCTAACCTATCTTCGTCTATATAAATAAATAAGAAAACAACTGTTGTTTATGTGGCTTGTGGAGGTGGTATTGAACTATAATTTATATTTTGCCTTAATTGTTGATTTATAAAGATAATTTTCCTTTTTCAAAGTAGAATATCTAGGTACGTACAAATTATTTCAACTTGATATAGGCGTTGTTGCCAATATGTGAATCAGAAACAAATCCCTTAAAAATTAAAAGTGAATTTGAAAAACTCATGAATTAAACTCAACTTTATTTTGTTCAAACTTGAATTTACTGTCATTACCCAAATTGAGGAACATTCCCCATGGTTGCGAACAGTCTTCAGAGACATTAGGCAGTGCAAGGTGAGTTCATTGATTCCCGGACTAAATGAACAGCCCTTGACAAGTTTGCCCATACAATAAATTTTTTCACGTCGATATCTACTGCGTGCAACCAGTCGAATATTTGAATAAAAACGTCTGAAAGCATCGACATCACATGACTTCAACGCATGTAACATAATTTATGTCCGATGTGGAATACAGAAGTAGGAGATTTGAGCCGGTTCTAAGCCTCCCCCCACCACTATGACGTATTAATTGCTTTTTTATTGGTTATTGTTTGGTGAAGTCAAGGTGATGTGACCTTGAAGGGTGGGGTGTATGGATCGTTCAAACATTTTTTCCCGGTTCTAATCCTCCCTTTTCAATGATTATCAATGTGTTTCCTATGGTAAACACACCATCCGATTAGTACGAGCTGGAGATGATAGCAACTGTTTCAAAATAGATGAGACTGCTGGTACAGTAGCATCAAAGACGGAAGTTAAGCTGAACATTGAAAATATCGAACTGAAAGTCAAACGAATCTTCCGTCATGATCAAATCAAATTGCAACTTTTGAAAGATATCCAAGCCGATACTCCTATTCTTATACCATTCAGAAAATGGGAACTCCACATGCTGCCTGCTCTCACACACGGTGCAAAAAATGAAATATGGGCCGTCAAAACTTCTTCGTTTCTCGAAAGCCCTCGCTATGTGATTGTATGTTTCCAAAAAGATCGTGATTACACCAAAGTCAACAATGATCCAACGCAATTCAACCATATAAATATCACCAATATAACGTTGATTCTGAACGGTGAAAATTACCCAAAAGAAAATATGCATCTGAATTTTGGGAAAATGAATTTCTTGCAAGCATATTTCAACTACGCACAATTCGGCCTTACCTATAAAATGACTAATCAATATAATCCTCTCATCAACACCGCTGACTTTGTACAAAAAACTCTCTTTGTCATCGATTGCTCTAGAAGGGATGAAAGCATCAAAAGTTCCAGTGTTGATGTAAAACTTGAAATCGAAGCATCCGAGGAATTTCCACAAAATATCATTGTGCACTGTCATTGAACACCTCCCACTCAGCGAAATTATCAAGAAATGGAACTGAACATGTGATTTTGCTGCAGTATCAATCGAAGTCAAGGTTTCATCATCGAGCAACAATTCCATCCTAAGGAGGTAGCTATTAGGATCGGAATTCAATGTAGTAACTTTTTACTGTTGCCAAACATACCATTTTCCTGTTCGAGTAAAGAAGATCGTCGTATCGCCTGTTACTTGGAGCGAAACGTTCACGGATTGAGGTATTCCTCTGGTTTTGTGGAATACAATCAATTGGATGCCATCCTCTTGAAAAATCTACAAGGTATCGATATCGTTTACGTGCGAGGTCATCAAAAACGTGACTATCTAGCAGCGAAATTTCACGAGTTGGATATACCTCCACGCGTCGTGAATTTGGAGGACTATGATAATACGACATGGATGGTTCCCACATTCGACAATAACAACGAAGGCGTCTCACCTTGTATGCATCACATTCACAACCAAACCAAATATAATTGCAGTTATATTTGGCAACATCGGTTAGCTATAACCGATATAAAGGACAATGAATATGTTACCTGTATGAGACAAACAAAGATGACATATTTCAGAGGCGTGCTGTTCTGTTTACTTACGTTCCGAGTCATTCTGTGACATGACATTTTGTGCATCTAACTTATCTTCTTCTATATAAATAAATAACAAAACAACTGTTGTTTATGTGGCTTGTGGAGGTGGTATTGAACTATAATTTATATATTGCCTTAATTGTTGATTTATAAAGATAATTTTCCTTTTTTAAAGTAGAATATCTAGGTACGTACAAATTATTTCAACTTGATATAGGCGCTGTGGCCAATATGTGAATCAGAAACAAATCCCTTAAAAATTAAAAGTGAATTTGAAAAACTCATGAATTAAACTCAACTTTATTTTGTTCAAACTTGCATTTACTGTCATAACGCAAATTGAGGAACATTCCCCATGGTTGCGAACAGTCTTCAGAGACAGTGCAGGGTGAGTTCATTGATTCCCGGACTAAATGAACAGCCCTTGACAAGTTTGCCCATACAATAAATTTTTTCACGTCGATATCTACTGCGTGCAACCACTCGAATATTTGAAAAAAATCGCCTGAAAGCATCGACATCACATGACTTCAACGCATGTAACATAATTCATGTCCGATGTGGAATACAGAATATGTATCCCAACTCAGCGCGATGATATTTCCTAATTTGACTATCGTAGCACTTACATACACTGCAGCTGAATATAGGGACGGCTTTATAACACGAGCTAATATATTCAATGGTTTTTTAAAATGAAATAATTGTACCAAAATAAAATAAATAAAACATTATTTATTCGAAAGCATGTACTGCTCACTGAATATCAAACAAAGCAATTACATGAGTTATGTTCATTAGTGATAATCTTGAATATCACTGAACATTATTGATCACTACATGATCGACACAATTCACAGTAGAGCACGATCAGCATTTGAGTTGGGCCCTCTTCTTGGTCCATACGTAATTACATTATTGAATCGCTTATTATACTGTTCTCTTTTCTTCGCTCTCCCCGTCTTCTTCTTTTTCTTCTTCTGCTTTTCAACCTTCGGTGTCTGCCCTCTCACTTTACCTATTGGTGAAAATTGGAACAAAGTTAATCACAATGTACTATATCACTAGAAAAAATATGACCAACAACAAACAGTGATAATTATTCACACAAGAACAGTTCACGTGATCCAAGACAAATTAATATTAATGTTACTCACCAGCACGAGCCAAAGAGCCGTGAACTTTGCCTCCAGGAAGTCCTACGGTCAATTCGATATCTACATCGCCGAATGATAACACCAAGCTATCGTCCAGTACTGGTACACCGGCAGCGAAAAGACTTATTTCGGATATCTTGAAAGATTCCAAACTAGCGAGACGTTTCTGAAAAACAAATTTACATTCATCACCTACATTTTACAACTGCATAATATCTTCGCTGAAAACAATATTCATAAATTCTCTTTCGTTCAGATCCAAGTTTCGACATCGATCATAGAATGATCGTCATGCTTTGCCGACTCCTGGAGCCAAAACCAAGAACTCACATCATGAAATTATCATAAAATTAACTAAAGACAATCTACGAATTTTATATTAAATTCATATACCAAATTTTGATTTTACAAACTGAAAAATACATACCTTAATTTCTCCAATAGTTTGGTTCTCATCGCACTCTATGTAAAGGGTTTTCTGTCCTCGCACACACAACTGCATATTGAGAATTTTATATTGGAATTGTTGCACAATAAAATACGGATAGCTAATAGCTTGGTACTGACTTATCTGACAACTCGAAATATGTTCATCATTTGTAAAATGTAGGTATTTATATGCTTCAATATACTAATTTTTACCTGATCAGGTATCTGTTACCTATAATATTTCTGGGAATTGACCAATATGACATGTACTTGTGATGTACTGTTTGGAACATTTGGTGTAGTAATGAATATTACTGGAGTTTTTTACCAATACCAAATTAGTGTTAGTTTTATCTTCCTCTTGAAGATGGATCACTTGCTGATCGAAACACGTGTCGAGGTATAAAAATAACGGTTTGGTGTTGGGAAAAAACTCCAGTAATATTCAATATGACATGGATAGTAGATGAGTATTTATATTTGGTAAGGGAATACGCCATGGTGGAGTTCTTTTTGAAAGTTTGGATTGGATTTTGGAAATTCTTGCATCTATACGAGGTTGAGGAAAAGCATTTTTCGTTCATGAAATGGAATATTTGTTTTTGTAGTGGGAGTGACTGCGACAATGAAGGGTTGTCGAGTTTGATGGGCTTGTCGCCTGGCTGCATATGATAGTGTCAGTTCATGTCTTCTAAGCTTTAGAGGTAACTCTCCAAGTTCACAGAGTAGGCTGTCAATCGGACTTGTAATTAATGCTCCATAGATGAATCTGAGTGCGTTATTCTGTATTGTATCCAGAGCTTTGAGGTTACTCGCGGAAGCAGACGAGTAGCATATGCAACCGTAGTCTAATTTTGACCTTATTATGTTCTATATAAAGTTAATAATGTCCTACTATCTGCGCCCCATTGTTTGTTTGTTAAGCTTTTCAACAGGTTTAGCCTTTTTTGACACACTGTGACAAAATATTACATATAGGTTTTCCATGACAGTGACTGGTCAGCCGCAGGGCTGATCACAGAGCCCTGCGGTATGCCATTCTCAACGTATCTTGGTGATGATAATACACCATCCACTTTGAGTCGAAAATATCTCTGAGAAAAAAATTCTTAATAAAAGCTGAAATATTGTCCTGAAAGCCCCAGGATACTAAAGTTTTGATAATTTTATGATGCCATGCTATGTTGAACGCCTTACATAGGTCAAAGTATACAGCGATACATTTCTCATTATTTTTGAATGCTTCACTGATATTACTTTCCTGATCAACTAGGTTGTCTGTTGTGGATTTCAGTGGACAGAAGCCAGTTTGTTCACTTATGAGCTGTTTGTTTTCCTCAAGAGTTCAGATAAGTCGTTTATTAATGATTTTCTCAAGCAATTTACATAGGTGGCAGGTATGGGAACTATAATTTCCAATTTACAGAGTTCAGGGATTTTGTGTTGTGTCCCGATTTCATTGAAGAAGATGAGAATAAAATCCAGAGCTCCTTCCAGTAGGTATTTTAGGAAACTAGAGGGGATATCGTCAAGCCCTGAAAATGTGTCCTTCAGTGATCTGAGACTCTAAGAGTTCTGCCATAGATATGAGAACGTTTATAGGGTCTTCGTTAAGAACTATCGGGATACATTCGTTCTCTTCTACTTCTTTGTACGCTGAAAAATTTAGATCGTAGTTAGTGTTGGAAGACATATCTCTAAAATGATCGGCTAGTTTTTCAGCGATATCAATTTTGTCTTCGAAGGTTTTCCCTTCTACTTCCAGTGCATTAATCTGAGAATAGGTAGTGATGCCAGATATTTTCCTAACTTTTTTCCAAACTTGATTCATTGGTGTGTTGATGTTAAACGTTTCAACTTATTTCTGCCAATTATCTTTTTTTGCTTTGGTAGTTATTCATTTTGCAATTGCTCTTTTCAATTTTTAGTTTATCAGATTTTCTGTTATGTTATGGTGTTTATAAGTATTGAGGGCTTTTTTGCTTTGATTTATAGCAGTATCGTAGTCAAGATTCCACCAAGGTACTATTTTGTCCCTTTGGATGTATTTCATCTTACCTATCGCCTTAGTAGCCGATTCAATCAAGATACCATTGAATTGGCGGAGAGTGTTATCAATAGAGCCTTCAGAAGTAATATTCTGCATGTTTATTTTGGTACACTCTTGATACAAGTCCCAGTTGGCGGTCTCTAACTTCCATTTTGGTTCGTGTATATAAACATTGCCACTGTGTCGATTTTTTGTTATAATTATTGGGTAGTGATCACTTCCATGTAGGTCGTCGTGGACATTCCAAATGTGATCAATGAGAATAAAAAAGCTACAAATGGAGAGATCTATGGCTGTTGAGGTTCCCGAGGACATATCTAAATTAGCATTAAAGCCTTCATTCGTAAGTGAGAGATTCACTTCCCATAGTGGTTGTTTTTGAGAACCCCATATTATATTGTGACCGTTGAAATCGCCCAGAATTATTTTTGGTGACGGGACTTGCTGAAATAAGTCATACAGTTTATTCTCGTCAATGTCATTGCTAGGGGAAATGTAAATGTTATAGAGATAAATCTTTTTTGAACAACCTAGTTCTATTGCTACTGCTTCAAAGTCAGTTATCAGTGGAATTTGTTTTGATCTCAGATGACTCTTCATGTACATGGCAACTCCTCCTGATGCATGAGTTTTATCTGTTCGGTTTTTGTAAAATATATCGTAAGTATTTTCATACTGTAGGTTCTTGAAGTTTGTTTCTTGCAGGCATAAAATATCTGGAGAATATTGGCTAATCAGTATCTGTAAGAAAGGCAGTCGAGAACGGAAACCGTTCAAATTCCACTAAATAATTTTGTCATACATTTTACTCTCCTGTGATGTAAAATGAAAAAATTAAGTTTATGTATTGTTTGAATAAGTGGAGTCACTCTCAGTGTCAACAGTGCCAGCTACAATTTGTTTTACTATGTTTGTTATCAACTCGGTAAACTTGATTTCAGAAAATATAGAACAATTTTAATAATGAATATAAAAATGTTGAAGTCAAAAATATATATAAATTAGCAATAGAGAAAATCACTTAATTCTGAAAATGTCCTAAACCTACACCGAACTATGTTAGTGTGAATATTGGAACGCACTCTTTGTCTGTAAAATGTCAGTTTATTATCCAAGGTCACTGTAATTCGTTTACAAACTTTATTTTGATTGTCCTATTATATTCTTGGACAATTTCATTGATATATGCATATATTTTGATGTGAAATGGAATCGGTAAATACCTTGTTTTCCTCCAACGTTGATGTGTGGTATGATTTTTCTACACTTCGGAGCTGGAACTTGTGGATGTTTCACTGGAAATGGGCTTGGCAGGTAGGATTTCACTGAATTTACTTTTATTTACATTTACATTTAAAAATTTTGTATCGGAGAAGGTATCGTCAATACGCTAATCAATAAGCTACCATTTGAATTACACTTACCTGGCTATCAGTATTGCGGTCCTAGTACGAAACTACAAGAACGTCTTGCACGAGGCGATCCTGGTATTAATCCACTAGACTCGGCTTTCAAACAACACGACTTGGCATATTCGCAAGATACGTCTCTTGAAGCTAGACATCGACCTGATAAAGCTCTCGAAGAAAAGGCGTGGCAACGAGTGAAATCTAAAGACGCAACACTTAGCGAGAAGGCGAGTGCTCTATTCGTCACCGGAGTAATGAAGTCCAAACGGAAATCAGAATGGGTGTGAAATCATTTCGACGCAGCATTTTGCAAAATATAATCAAAAACTGGAAGCCTACGACGAATGACGTGAAGGAATCTGCGGCATCGGCTCTAAAGGCGGCAAAAATGGCCGTCCATAAAGCTGGAGGACGTAAGAAGATACGTATACCGCGAGTTTTTCCATTCGAAGCAAAATCTGGAGGGATCCTACCACTAATATCCATATTTGCAGGCCTTTCAGCTTTGGGTTCGTTGGTAGGCGGAGCGAGCGCCATCGCAAAAACAGTGATAGATGCAAAAAATGCCAAAAAAAACTAGAAGAAGATCAACGCCACAATAAAGCTATGGAACATTTGGGTTCCGATTTGAACTTGCGCAAAACACCTCGGAGATTTGGTCTGTTTCTAAAAAAAACATCAACGCAAAAGACGAGGCCTCTACTTGCGAAAGCAACAAAAAACTCCTGTTGAAGCTACCCCATAGAGCATTATATTATTCGTAAATTCAAAAGTGTGCCCATCAATTGAAAATACCACATTTTCGTGGAGTCTTTATGCGTGATGCGTTGCACACTTGTGGTCCTTGGCCGCGAGAATGTGCTGTATTGAACTTGGATTCTCGGTTGAATAAAGGCACTCATTGGGTAGCTTACATTAAAAACGGCAATGCTGTACAATATTTTGATAGTTTCGGTAATCTCAAACCTCCGATGGAATTGGTGCGATATTTTGGAAGGGGTATAACGATTACATATAACAATGATCGGTATCAAAATTTTGACCAGACTAATTGCGGAAATCTGTGCCTTCACTTTGTACTTCATAATGTCTGCAAAAATGGTTAGAGGAATACGGGATTTAACCGATGCTGAATTGAAAACTCTATCGATTGACTATTTGATTGAGAATGCTGAACCTTGGGAATTATTGGATGTTTGGCATAGATTACCAAAGGACTACCAACATCGATTCGCTTTGCAGATTCGTTTACCATGTTTCATCCATTATCGACATGAGGTGGTGTCATCGCTACAAAATGCAATGTATTATGGTCCTGTTAGCTCACGAAAGAGAATGTTATTATTGTAGGAATAAATGATTCAAAATATTTGTGTTGTTGTTGTTGTTTTCATTTCATTATTTAAGGTGTGTACATGTGGGAAATGTATCAGTCATGTCTATGATATTAACTCTAACGAGTCGTTCTTCGATACTTTCCATCGATTTCAATCCACCCATTCGATTGGATTCCGATTCAGAATACAGTTTGGCTTTGCTCAGTTTCCATTCGTACAACAGTATACCGAACATTGAAGAAGGCACGAAATTCTATTATTACGAAAACGGCGACAA